GAAAAAAAAAGGTACAGCTTGCTGCCTGCACTCATTTAATTTCACATAAACACGCTCGCTCCTTGAGGCTGAAGGAAATCTAATTGATTTTCAACGTGAAAATAAAATACAAAACTTGTTCTTGGAGTTATTTCTAAACAGAACTTGTGTCTCATCCTAATGCAAAATCATATACATTTCTGTTACATTGGGTTTAGAGACAAGAGTATTCTCGGGGCAAACGGGAAAGGGGTTAAACAAAAGCCATGTATTGCTCACAGCTCTGGAGTCCAGGATCAAGGTGTGGCACACTCAGTGTCTGATGAGGCTTCCTGGTTCACAGACTTGGCACCTTCTCGCCGTGTCCTCACATGGTGGAAAAGGCGAAGGAGCTCTCTGAGGTCCCTTTTATAAGGGCACTAGTGCCATTCATGAGGCTCCTGACTTCATCACATTCCAAAGGCCTCACCTCCTAACACCATCACCTTGGGGGTTCAATTTTGATTTGGGGGTAACATAAATCTTGTCTTTAGCAAGCTCTATCAATGCAAGTCATTGTTTGACTACGTATTTCATCAAAATCACTTTGCCCCAATGTTGTACAACTAAGGTCATTTTCTTCTTCTCAAAAAAGGTGTTTTAATTTTTTTTCTTTTTGGTCTCCCTAAAATGGTAACTACTGGTGTAGCTGCGGATCATGAGTTTTTGGGAAGTGGGCAAGCTACAAAATACAAATCACTAAGTACCAGAAGCAAAGCCTGAACTTTATCATTTTTAGTTGCCTTTTCACATGGGAGACTGTTGTACATCATTTGCAGGCATGAGTTTTGCGTGAAACTGTGAACCCAACTGCCTACTTAAAAGTAAGAATTGTTAAAGGATACTAAGTTACAGTTAGAGAGTGGGAATAAGTTCTAGTGTTCTATAGCACTGTAGGATGACTCTAGGCAACAATAATATGCAGTTTCAAGTAGCCGAGAGGATATTAAATGTTGCCAACACAAAGAAATGGTACATGTGTGAGATGATGAATATGCCAATTACCCTGCTGTGACCACTATACATTATATATATATATTGAAATATCACTGTGTATCCCAGGAATGTGGGGAATGTGGACAGTTATTATATATCAATGGAAACAACAAAATTCTTTAAAAAGGATTTGGCAGGATGGATTTTTATTTATTTATTTATTGAGATGGAGTTTCTGTTGCCAAGGCTGGAGTGCAGTGGCACCATCTCGGCTCACTGCAACCTCCACCTCCCAGGTTCAAGCAATTCTCCTGCCTCAGCTCCCGAGTAGCTGGGATTACAGGCACAGGCCACCACACCTGGCTGATTTTTGTATTTTTAGTACAGATGGGGTTTCACCATGTTGGCCAGACTGGTCTCAAACCCCTGACCTCAGATGATCCATCCACCTCGGCCTCCCAAAGTGCTGGGATTACAGGCATGAGCCACCATGCCCAGCCTCTTTTTTTATTTTTAAAAATTGACAAATAAAAATTGCATATATTTATGGTGTACAATATGATGTTTTGAAATACGTGCACATTGCAGAGTGGCTAAATTGAACTCATTAACATATGTGTCACCTTATATATTTATCTTTTATGTGTGTGATGAGAATATTTAAAATCTGCTCTCAGTGATTTTCAAGTATGCAATACATTGTTGTGAACTATAGTCCCCATATTATACAATGGATCCCTTGAACTTATTCCTCCTAACTCAAATTTTATTTGTTTTTGAAACAAAAGTGTTGGCTGGGTGTGGTGGCTCATGCCTATAAACCCAACACTTTGGGAGGCCTAGGCAGGCGGATCACCTGAGGTCAGGGGTTCGAGATCAGTCAACATGGTGAAACCCCATCTCTACTAAAAATACAAAAATTAGCTGGGCGTGATGGCACGTGCCTGTAATCCCAGCTACTCGGGAGGCTTGGGCAGGAGAATCGCTTGGACCTGGGAGATGGAGGTTACAGTGAGCCAAGATCACACCACTGCACTCCAGCCTGGATGACAGAGTGAGACTCCGTCTCAAAAAAAAGAAAGTGTCTCCCCTGTGTTAAACATGGATCAGATTTCCTTGGCTCTTCTTCTAACATAATTCTAATTGTCTAAGGTCAAGAGTTCGAGACCAGCCTGGCCAACATGGCAAAACTGCGTCTCTACTAAAAATGCAAAAATTAGCTGGGCATTGTGGTGGACGCCTGTAATCCCAGCTACTGGGGAGGCTGAGGCAGGGAGAATGGCTTGAACCCGGGAGGCGGAGGTTGGGTGACAGAGCCAGACTGTCTCGGGAAGGGAGAGGGGAGAGGGGAGATGGGAGGGGAGTTCTAGCATCCCCAAGTCTGTCCCTGAGAATGTGGCTTGAGAAGGAAGGTGGATTCTTTCAGTGGTGTTCACAGACAGAACAACTTAAACTTTAGATTTCTCAGAATGAGATAGTTCACTAAAGCCTACCTATCTGAAAACATAAACATTTATTCATCAAGGGTACCCTTTAAGCCATAAACAAACTCAACCACCAACCACCAAACCCACAAACAAAAGACAAAACCAAACCAAACCAAAAATCCAACAAATAAACAAACAACTTTCCCTGAGACAAGCCACAGAACTTTATTTTGGGAAAAGAAAACATTTTTTTGTTGGTCAAACTATCAGCTGCTATGAAATACTCTTAGAGATGTTTATCCTGAGCTAGTTTTTTTTGTGGGGAGATGCTGTTTACATGCTATGTTAAAAATAACATGCAAAAATTAACAGACATTAATGATGATGATGATGATGGATATACAAACAACGAGAATAATGATATTGGTATACATCATATGAGTGAAAAAAAAAAGTTGATGGTGGTGATGACAATACAATCGAAACTGCTTTTGCTCCGTGGAAAGCCCTTTGAGATGGGGATCCCCGGCTGTGCAGTTTGCGGTGTATTTGCCTAAAACGCCATCTGGCTGCTACATAGAGGAAGAACACTTTGCTTTTCTGGCCTTTGTTTTCTTAATTCTTCAATTTCTCTTTATGCTCCTAAAAATTCTACATAATCCCATTTTGAACACTGCATTCATTCTTTTTTTTCTCTCAGAAGACAATAAGGGTTTTCATTAAGAAGTAAGTCATAAGACTCAAGAGAACAAACAAAACTCTTACTAGGTCTCCCTCCCTCCCTCTCTGCAGGCTGGGGGTGGATTCAAATGAAATTTTGCTTGAGAAAGCAGCCTGTTCGCTTCAGAAAACTGAATATTTTATTCAAAAAAAGTTAATTCTGCAGAATCAATTTGTCACACCTTTACATCATTCACACTACCTTCCCTGCCCCGTTATTTAGAGAACTCTAAGAAACATAATCTATATATGGACATAAGGTTGGGAACAGTAGATACTGGGTAATACTACAGGATGGAGAGATGGAGGCGCCAGGCCGAAACACTACCTGTTGGGTGCTATGCTCAGTACCTGGGTGATGGGATCATCTGTATTCCAAACCTCAGTGTCACACGATATACCCATGAAACAAACCTGCACCTGTACCACCCAAACAATATGATCCACAGAATATATCAGACAAAAGATGTCTGTTATGGTGGCTAATACACCTCGGGTTCAGAAAGTCAGTGGCAGCCACGCACGGTGGCTCATGGCTGTAATACCAGTGCTTTGGGAGGCTGAGGCGGGAGGATCATGTGAAGCCAGGAAATCGAGACCTCACCGATACAAAAAGTAAACAAACAAAAAAATTGGCTGGGTGTGGTTATGCACACTCATGGTCCCAGCTACTTGGGAAGTTGAGGTAGGAGGATCACCTGAGACCAGGAGGTCAAGGCTGCAGTGAGCTATGATTGCACCACCGCACTCCAGCCCAGGCAACAGAGTAAGACCGTGTCTCTTAAAAAATTCTTTTAAAGAAAAAAAGAAAGTTGGTGGGGATGTGAATTCTAGAACTTTCTCTCATCAAATATTTAGAACAGGTTGACATGGTACACTACCTTCTTAAAAGACGGAGGCTCAGCATTTGAAGGAAGCTGAGTGAGACAGATAAATAAAGTCAAGTCACCAATTAAGAATTGGTCCAGGCATAGTGGCTCATGCCTATAATACCAGCACTTTGGGAGGCCACGGTGGGAGGATCACTGGAGCTCAGGAGTTTAAAACCAGCCTGAGAAACATAGCAAGACTTCATTTCTACAAATAATTAGCCAGGAATGGTGGCACACACCTGTGGTCCTGCCTACTCGGGAGGATCGCTTCCGCCTGGGAAGTGCAGTGGCATGATCACAGCTCAGTGCGGCCTCCATCTCTCAGACTCAAGCGATCCTCCCTGTGTCCTCACATGGTCATCCCTCTGTGCGTGTCTGTGTCCTTTTATTTTTTTGGAGACAGGGGTCTCTGGCCCAGGAAAGAGTGCAGTGGTACAATCATAGCTCACTGCAGCCTTGACCTCCTGGGCTCAAGCGATTCTTCCACCTCAGCCTCCTGAGCGGCTGGGATCACAGGCGTACACCACTACACCCAGCTAATATATATATATATATTTATTTTTTCTAGATATGGAGTCTCCTTATGACGCCCAGGCAGGTCTCAAATTCCTGGCCTCAAGCAACCCTCCCGTCTCAGTCTCCCCAGTAGTTGGGTCTACCAGCACGCACCGCCATGCCAGGGCCATTTTAAAACTTTGTGGCTGGGCGCGGTGGCTCACGCCTGTAATCCCAGCACTTCTGGAGGCCGGGGCACGCGGATCACATGAGGTCAGGAGTTCAAGACCAGCCTGGCCAACATGGTGAAACCCCGTCTCTGGTAAATACACAAAAATTAACCAGGCGTGGTGGAGGGCGCCTGTAATCCCAGCTACTCGGGAAGCTGAGGCAGAACTGCTTGAACCCGGGAGGCGGAGGTTGCAGTGAGCTGAGATTGTGCCACCGCACTCCAGCCTCGGCGACAGAGGGACACTCTGTCTCAAAAAATCCAAAAACCAAAAACTTTTTGTAGAGACAGTCTTGCTATGTTGCCCAGGCTGGTCTCGAACTCTTGGCTTCAAAATACCCTCACCTGGGCCTCCCAAAGTGCTGGGATTACAGCACTTGGCTCCAGCTTGACCTTTGTTGGTAGAACTACTCAGAAAATATGGCTAATTTAGAAATTGGGTGGTGTCAAGTGAACCCTACCCAAATCTTCTATCCCCACATCAGTTCTCATCCACCTTTTTCGCGTGTTGGAGAACTGGCAAGGCAGGGGCTGCGGCTCGCCCTCCCTCACGCGGCTCAGGCTCTGAGGGCGCGAGGCCCAGGGCTCTCGCGCTGCGGCCGCCACCCGCCCCGAGGCCCCGGTCCCCTCCTCTCGCCGCCGCACCAGGGTAGCGCTGCCACGAGCCGGGCTTTCCGGGGGCCAGGACGAACGAGGACCGAGATGCTCCACGGCAGGGACTGCAGGCAACAGACCACGGGTAAGTGGCGGTTACGGGACTCTCCGGCCCGGGAACGGACGTTTTAGCTCTCAGGGATTCGATACCACAGGTTGTTTCCAGACCATATGCCGGTCGCTTCCGGCAATTGGAAAGACCAATCGTCAGGCCCGACAATGCAAGACCTGCCCACTTTGCGACGGAGGCAGCCACTCCAGTTCCTCCTTACTTCTATTGTCGGGGGCGCCCTTACGAAAGGTCCTGTCCAATCGTTACCGGGAACGCCCTCCTAGTCCCGCCTCAGGGCCATCGCAGAGCCTGTAAATTCAGCTTGACCCCTTCACCCCATTGGCGTATTTCCTTCCGACGCCATGACGTGCACAGCGGCCGGCCGGGGCGGGCCAATGAGCGGGAACGTGGTGTGCGGCTGGCGTCCGCCGCAGTCGCTCCTGGGTCCTAGGGGCCGGAGCCGCCCTGAACGCAGCGTATCGAGGGCTCTTGCCGAAGAGGCGCCGCCGCGGAGCCCGCAGTCAGACGCCCCCTCAGTGGCGCCCGCCTAAGCCGTGGGCGCACCCGAGGGGCAGGCTCGCCTTCCGTCGGCCCTCGCAGCTCGGCTGGGCTCGGAGTCTGCGCCGCCGTCGCCTTCCCGCTCGGGCCGAGAACCGCAGTCGCGGAGCCGCGCAGCCCTCGAAGCCCGGTGAGAGGCGCCGCTAGTCTGAGGACGGTGGACGGAGGGCGCGGGGCATTCGCGCAGCTTTGCGGCCTGCAGGCCCTCCCCGCCGGCGGAGCTGCGCCGCAGGTCTCGGGACGAGCCTGGGGGGCCGGAGGGCTTCGGGAGCCCGGGGCGGGACTGGGGGCCTGAGGCCACCGGGGGTCCCTGGGTGGGTACTGGGTGCTGCGGAGCAGGGGCGCCGACCTCTGACCCACGAGAGGAACGCCTTCGCGGTGCTGGTCCTAGTTGTTGTTCTCAGCGTCCCTATTATCCGATTGGAAATGAGAGCAGGCGGTTCTCGGGCTCCGAGCCGCAGGGGGCGGGCGAACTGGGAGAAATGTGTACTTTCCACGCCTAGGACCTGCCGCTGGGCAAACGGAGGCCAGTGTCCCTGCGGTCGCTGCCAGGGAGGGCGCACGAGGTTCCCCAGGCGAGGTGACCCGCAGGAGGTTTTGTGACGTCGGACCCGGGGATGGAGGGCGGTCTTCTAGAGGAGCCGTCGGCTTTCCAGGGAAGGCATCCGGCAGGTCGGGGAGACTCGCCGGGGCTGCGGGGGAAGCTCCACCTCTCCGAGCGCCCCCGCGGGGAGACCCAGGGCACAGGGGTAGCCTCGCGGGGGACCCCGAACCGCAGCGGGGCACGGCCCTCCCCAGGAAGTCGGCACCCAGGGCCCTTTGTCCTAGGCTAGAGTGCAGTGGCATAATCCTAGCTCACTGCAGCCCCAAACTCCTGGGCTCAAGTCATCTTCCGGCCTCAGCTTGCTGAAAAGCTGAGAACACAGTTGTGCGCCACTATGCCATATATATATATATATATTTTAACTTATTTGTAGAAATGAGGTCTCACTATGTTGCCCAGGCTGGTCTCTGACCTCTGATCTCAAACCTCTGATCTCAAGTGTTCCTTCTCTTTGGCCTCCCAAAGCACCGGGATTACAGGTGTGAGCGACCATTCTTTGGCATGGTGGGGTATGCAGTAGGAGAGCAGCGGTGGTGGTAGTGTCTCCATACGGACTCTCACAAAAAGTGGTGTGGGCAGATATTGGATGCCTACTTATTTAGGGGCATCTAAATTCCTGTGCTAAATTAGAAAACTGGCAGCTCTTGAAAGGAGTGATGGCGTGAAGGAGAGATACCTGGACCAACCATCACACAACCCTTATAAATAATTGATACCCTTGGTTTTGATGCCACGTCCTCTTCCATAGTTGTTGGTTGAAGTGACACGTGATTCCAGGTGAGCTTTTCCAGATAAATTGCCCTGGAACTTCAGACTTTGTCAGGTGAATCGATGTGGAATTTCAGAATGGGCTGGAATGTCTAAGATGGGCATGTCCAATATTCAGCTCAGTGTGGGGAAACTGGTGGTGGCCAGGGCTGGTTGCAGGCTGAGTTGCAGGGGTGACAATTCACCTGAGAAACAAAAAAACATGCAAATCCTGGTTGATGAGGAGTGATTTCACAAATAGTGACCGTGGAAGTCAATGTTGAAAAAACAAATAGATTCAGGGCATAAGGGTGCAGGTTTGTTACACGGATATATTGCCCAGTGGTGGGGATTGGCCTTCTATCCCCCAAACAGTGAACATAATACCAGATAGGTAATTTCTCAACCCTCGTCCACTCCCACCTTCCCCCTTTTAAAGGTGTCCAGTGTCTGTTATTGCATTCTATAGGTCCATGTGTACCCATTTCTTTTAGCTCCCACTTACAAGTGAGAACATGTGGTATTTGATTTTGTTTCTGAGTTATTTCACTTAGGATATTGACCCTCAGCTCCATTTATGTTGCTGCAAAAGATATAGTTTCATTCTTTTTTATAGATGCATAATAGTCTTGGTGTGTGTATACCATATTTTCTTCATCCAATGAACACTTAGGTTCATTCCATGATTTTGCTGTTGTGAATTGTGCTGAAGTAAAAATGTAAGTGTAGGTGTCTTTTCTGATAATTTCTTTCCTTTGGGTAGATAACCATTACTGGAGTTGCTGGGTCAAAGGGTAGATCTATTTTTAGTTCTCTGAGAAATCTACTACTGTTTTCCATAGAAGTTGTACAATTTTACATTCTCACCAACAGTGTATAAGCATTCCCTTCTGTGCATTCTCACCAAGAGGTCAGTGTTTTTCTACAAGACAAAATGTAGATTGACAGATAGATCAATGATAGGCAGATGGAATACAGATGACAGATAATAATAGGTAGGTAGATGATAAATGGAATAGATAGAATAAACAGACAGATAGAATATAGTAATAAAATGCATCTACCTGAAAATAGAGAAGAAAAAGATTGTGGGACTTTCCACTCTGTAACCCTGGGGCAAAGAAAGTAGCATTAATGAAAAAACAAAGAATGGGAAAATAAAATTTTTTATTCAGAACCACCCTTCCAGCAGAAAAGAATAGCGCAAGCAAAATATTAAGCATTTTGTATGCATTTGTGTAGGTCGTGGGAACTATTACAAAAAGGTGGATGTCGCATGTTTCAGTGCTTTTTCTTTTTTCTTTTTTTTGAGACAGGCTCTCGCTCTGTTGCCCAGGCTGGAGTGCGGTGGCATGATCTTGGCTCATGGCAACCTCTGCTTTCTGGGTTCAAGGGATTCTCCAGTCTCAGCCTCCTGAATAACTGGGATTACAGGCTCCTGCCACCATGCCCGGCTATTTTTTTTTTTTTTTATTTTTAGTAGAGATAGGGTTTCACCATGTTGTCCAGGCTGGTCTTGAACTCCTGACCTCAAGTGATCACCTGCCTTGGCCTCCCAAAGTGCAGGGATTACAGGCGTGAGCCACCATGCCTGGACTCAATACATTTTTAATATACACAGAGCTTTGCCAATTTTGGAGGGTTGTCTAGTATTGGAATTTCTGGGTTTTAAATTTTTTTTTTATGTTTGTGTTTCTCCCTTTTAGTTTGATATAATGCAACTCTTATTTTCTTATTGAAATAAAATCTCAGGCTCTCTCCATTGCATAGGCTGAAGCAGGTATGATGTAGGACGCTGGCTGGATTCAGACCCTTGAAGGAGGTTGGGCACGGTGACTCATGCCTGTAATCTCAGCACTTTAGGAGGCTGAGGTGGGCAGATCACTTGAGGTCAGGTGAAACCAGCCTGGCCAACATGGTGAAACCCCGTCTACCCAAAAAAACCCCAAAAAACAAAAATTAACTGAATGGTGGTGCGTGCCTGTAGTCCCAGCTACTTGGAAGGCTGGGAGAATTGGTGGGAGAATTGCTTGAACCCAATAGGTGGTGGTTGCAGTGAGCCGAAATCGCACCACTGCACTCCAGCCTGGGCAACAGAGTGAGACCTTGTCTCAAAAAACAAAAAACAAAATCAGACCCTTGAAGCGTGAGCATTTTGCTGTGTTTCATTTGGGAGCTGGCTGTTCTGCTTCCTCCTAACATCTCAAAAGACACTGGATGGCCTGAGCTCCCGGGTACTCTGGGCTGCCTAGTTAGCATTCTGTGGGTGGTGAGAAAAACGCAAATTGTCTCTGCAGGGCAGCAGACCCTGGAGTTTAAAGACTTCTCTTCTTTTATCAAATTGTGTATTTGCAAGGCGGGAGTTGAGCCCAGGAGACTAGCCTGGGCAACCTAGTGAGATTCTGTCCCTACAAAAACTACACAAATCAGCCTGGCATAGTGGCACACACCTGTAGTCCCAGCTACTAGGGAGGATGAGGTGGTAGGATCACTTGAGTCCAGGATTTCGAGGTTACTGTGAGCTATGATCGCACCAGATTGCTGCATGGGGATGAGAGGAAATAGAGGGTGAACAGATCTCCTGCTACTGCACAGGACACTTTTGATTTCCCAGCTGGTGTTTGAAGGCTGTGCAAGGTGTTGGGTTGCAGGATGATGGAGATCCATGTCATTGTGAATCCATGACTGTGTGGCCGTTTGCATCAACTCAGCCTTACTGCAGATACTAACCTTCATTCCCCTCTCCAGCTATGCATTGGTTTTCTGCATACCACTTGGAATTTATGTTGGCTCTGAGTCATCCGATTCTCACATGATAAAGAACCAAATAATGACATATTATTTTAAAAGAATGTGTCTGCATATGGCTTCTTATCTGCCAAGTGTTGCACTTTAGGCATTTATATTGAGTTTCAAGATCTTGCCACTGCACTCCAGCCTGGGTGACAGAGCAATACCTTGTCTCAAAAAAAAAAAAAAAAAAAAACCAAGATAGAGCAGACATTTCCAAACAATTAAAATGTCCTCAAAGGGAGTTGTTGATATATTAGTCTGTTCTCAATGCTGCTAATAAAGACATACCTAATACTGGGTAATTTATAAAGGAAAGAGGTTTAATGGATCCACAGTTCCACATGGCTGCGGAGGCCTCACAATCATGGAGGAAGGCAAAGGAGGAGCAAAGTCACATCTTACATGGTGGTAGGCAGGAGACTGTGTGCAGGAGAACTGCCCTTTATAAAATCATCAGATCTTCTGAGACTCATTCACTATCATGAGAACAGCATGGGAAAAACCCACACCCATAATTCAATTAGCTCCCACCAGTTCCCTTCCACCACATGTGAGGATTATTACAATTCAAGGTGAGATCTGGGTTGAGACAGAGCCAAACCATATCAATTGATAATTAGCAGATTAAAGGGAAAAGGGCTCATCTGTTGACTAAGACAGCCTTCATGTTTCCCTCGGCTTGAGTGTTACAGTTTTCCTCCCGACCTCCTTGTCTATTTTTCAGTTTTAATTTTTTTGATACATAATAGATGCACACATGTTGGGGGTACATGTGATTACTAAATACACTCATAATTTGTAAAGATCACATCATTGTGATCAAGATATTCATCACTCTGCATATTTGCCTTTTTGTTTAGCTAGAAACATTTAAATTCTTATCTTTAGCTATTCTGAAATGTACAATAGATTACTGTAAACCGCAGTCACTTACCCTGCTGATTTATTGAACGGTGGGTCTTATTTCTTTTATCAAAAATTCTATTTGCAAGGCAGGAAGATTGCTTAAGCCCAGGAGTTCGAGAATCAGCCTGGGCAACCTAGTGAGACCCTGTCTCTACAAAAAATACAAAAATTGGCCTGGCATGGTGGCACGCACCTGAAGTCCCAGCTACTGGGGAGGCTGAGGTAGGAGGATCACTTGAGCTCAGGAGTTCCAGGTTACTGTGAGCTACGATCATACGTATCACTGTACTACAGTCTGGGCAACAGAACAGAATCCTGTCTCCAAAAAAACAAAACAACTCCTACTTATTTGTACCCATTAATCAAACTATTTTTTATCTCTCTTCTCTGCCCCCTTCCTAGCCTCTGGTAGCCACCAATCTACTCTCTGTCTCCATGAGATCCAGGTTTTAAGCTCCCACCTGTGAGTGAGAACACGCAGTATTTTTCTTCTGTGCCTGGCTTATTTCACTTAACATAATGACCTCCAGCTCCATCCATCAGGCCTCCTTTGTCACGGAGGATTTATTTTAGGAAACTTGCAATTGTGAGTTCTTTCTCTACCTCTTTGAGATGCAAATCTTCTCCCAAATTTTCTTCTAGCCTCTTGCTAGTTTTGTAACCCAGGAATGTCTTTCTCAAGACCTCAGAGCCATCCCTTTAAAATGTAATTGTTGAAGATGATACATCTGTCTCTCAGTCTTTGCAGAAGGGCAGGTTCCTAGTTTTGAAAAATTCCAATAAGCCAACACATAGCTTTACTGCATTTCCTAACCTCTTCCTTATGTCTCCAGTTCCTTCTCAGCATCTCACCCCAGCACTTAAAAAGTCTCCAGCCTTTTGTTTCAACGAAGTTAAGCTCCTTCTCTCTTCCGTATTGCAGTAGTCCTGACTGAGGCCTTCCTTGAAGGGTTAACTTGTCTGGTGCAATGTTTTCTTTGACAATGTCCAGATCAAAGGATCCCACAGAAACACTGAGTATGATTTTCGCCTGAGAAAGGGGAGGGTGAGAAGATAGATTGGGAGGCAGCTGTGTAGGCAGGGGACTTGGCCACTCCCTAAAGCTCTCCCAGTCTCACCTGTGAGTGGAGTGCATAGGCAGCAGTTCTTCTCCCCCGAGGCTGGGGGATGGAATCAGTTAGACTATTGAGGGCATCTGGAAGGGCAGCTGCCTCAGGGTTAGTCCTCAGGGTACGGTGGCCAATGGGTTTCTTTTGATCGACTGTTGACAATGTGTTTGTTGAATGGCAGCCTGCACTAGGCGAAGCTGAAGCCACAGAAGACACCGCAGTGGAAAAACCAGCATGAGCCGCTGCCCCAAGGAACCTCAAAGCGCAGGCAGAGGACCAGCCATCCCAGCCGCACAGGTAAAGTGTGTCACCTGTCAGGTGGGCTTGGGGTGAGCGGGGGTGTGTGTGTGCGCGCCAAGGGGTGTATGTATGCGTGTGAGCACATGTGAGTGACGGCTAGTGTGACTGCATGTGAGGGAGTGTGAACAAGCGTGCAAAAGTGTGTGCAAGTGTGTATGCATATGAGAATATGTGTGGATAAGTGCATTTGAAAGCCCGTGTGTGTGTGTGGTCATGAGGGTTAGTGACCAAATGCGCAGGATATGTGTGTGTGCATGGAACACTGTCAGTGTGTGTGTGGCAAGTGTGTAGGCATGTGAAGACAGGCAGAAGTGTGTCAGTGTTGTGATAGGAGTGTGAATGTGTGCACAAGGGTGTGGAGTCAATGACTGTATAGGAATGTGTGTTACCTATGAAGGCATGTAATGTGTCAGTGTGTGTGCATGTGTGGGAATGAGCGCTTGTGGGTGTGTCCATGTGTGTGCCAGTGGGTATATGTGAAAGCATGTAAGAGTGTGTCATGTGATGGTGTGTGGATGTGTGTGTATAAATGTGAGAGCATGTAAATGAGTGTTGAATGAGTGTATGAGTGTGCATATGTGAGGCTGTGCGTGTGAGTGTGTGAATGTGTGTAAGTGTATGTGCATGTGACAGTGGAAGTGTAGGGGTGTGATACATGTGTGGGTGTGAGTGCCAGTGTATGAGTGTACGTGGTGTGGATCTGAGTGTGCACAGTGTAAAGGGCATGTGTGTACAAGTGTGCAAGGGCAAGTGTAAAGGGCATGAGTGCAAGTGTGTGTGAGGGTATGTGAATGAGTGGTCATGTGCATGCATGTGTGAGTGCACGCTCAAAAGCATGGATGGGTGCAAGCCTCCCCTACTAACTCCTGTGGTCAAAAAAGGATGTGTTTTCTGTGTTTCAACAATGTTTTAAGATTATGTACTGTATTTAATACGTCTTAAATACGTCTTAAATATTAATACGTCTTAATACTGCAGTGTTTTTCTCTGTTTAAAGCGCAGCAGGGGGCTGGGCGCAGTGGCTCACACCCGTAATCCCAGCACGTAGGGAGGCCGAGGCAAGTGGATCACTTGAGATCAGGAGTTCAAGACCAGCCTGGACAACATGGTGAAACCCCATCTCTACTAAAAATACAAAAACTAGCCGGGCATGGTAGTGGGTGTCTGTAAATCCCAGCTAATGGGGAGGCTGAGGCTGGATAATCACTTGAACTCAGGAGGCGGAGGTTGCAGTGAGCCAAGATTGCACCACTGCACTCCAGCCTGGGCAACAGAGCAAGACTCTATGCAAAAAACCCCAAAAAATCCAATGTAGCTAAAGGCAATTTGATAATAACAATGGCATCGAAATGAGAATTGTGTCAGAAAAACCAAAAACAATAATGAAATGGCTCCTCTATAACCCATCCCCCAAAACCCACGTAGAGAAGAAGACAGGGCTGGGCGTGGTGGTTCATGCCTGTAATTCCCGCACTTTGAGAGGCCCAGAAGGAAGGATTGCTTGAGCCTGCGAAATCAAGGTACAGTGAGCTGTATTTGCCCCACTGTACTTCAGCCTGGGAGTCAGAGTGAAACCTTGTCTCAAAAACAAAAAGAAGAAAAGGATACGTGAGTTACTAACTCTGATCATCACTGAGTGCAAAGATTCTGGTATTCTGGTGTTTTCCATTTTCTTTTAGCTTATCTTCATTTTGAGTTTTCTGGAAGAGCATTTATTGCTTTTTTTTTGAGATGGAGTCTCACTGTGTTGCCCAGGCTGGAGTGCAGTGGCGTGATCTCGGCTCACTGCAGCCTCCACCTTCCGGGTTCAACCAATTTTCCTGCCTCAGCCTCCCAAGTAGTTGGGACTACAGGCGCATGCCACTTCGCCTGGCTAATTTTTTGTATCATTTTTAGTAGAGACAGAGTTTCATACTGTGTTAGCCAGGATGGTCTTGATCTCCTGACCTCGTGATCCACATGCCTTGGCCTCCCAAAGTGCTGGGATTATAGGCATGAACCACTGTACCCAGCCACATTTATTGCTTTAAGAAAAAAAAATTTCACTTGATGGAAAAAAGCTAAAATGAGGTTGCCTAGAAAAGTATCATTACTAAAAACATTCTTCTTCTTTCATGGAGTTTTTTTTTTTTTTTTTTTTTTTGAGACAGAGTCTCGTTCTGTTGCATACGCTGGAGTACAGTGGTACAATCTCAGCTCACTGCAACCTTCGCCTCCCAGGTTCAAATGAATTCTTGTGCCTCAGCCTCCTGTATAACTGGGATTAGAGGCATGCACCGCCACGCCCAGCTAATTTTTGTATTAGGGTTTTGTCATGTTGGCCAGGCTGGTCTCCAACTCCTGACCTCGAGTGATCCACCAGCCTCAGCCTCCCAGAGTGCTGGGATTACAAGTGTAAGCCCCTGCACCTGGCCCTTGTTTTGGCTAACTATGAGTGAAACTCTTTCTGCCATGGGAGATTGCACCTTACCATTGTTTATTTCCAGGGTCTCCTGAGAACACAGACCAGAATTACTGAGGTAATCTTGGCACATTTTCTTAACCATTTTATGTGACTTTCAAATTCCTTATATGTAGCTGGGAAAAAAGGCTTTGCTAGATGATCTTTTTCAGCCTTTGTGAAGATAAAGATTAAGAAAAAAGTTTAAACCCGAGGCACTGATAAGGAAAATAAAGAAAACCTAAACAAAGTTTCAGTTCTCAGCCCCTGAGCAGCCACTTGGTGGGCGTTTCCTTCAGTCCCCAGTGAGCACCTACTGTGTGCTCTGTATGGCGCAGCGCAGGGAGGAGCAGGCCAAGAAACAAGCCTTGGGTCAGGGCCACAGAGGGCAGTGAGCTCTCAGGACAGGGCGGGAAGGGAAGGCAGAAAGGCCCTGGGCACGGGCTGGGCTGTCAGCTCCCGAGGGGCGCACTGAGCCTGCATCCATGGGAAGTGTGAGGCACAGGCAGCCTGGACTGCAGCCTCAGAGCGGAGCAGAACCTGGGGTGGAAGAGGCCAGCTGGGGCGAGTGGGCACCAGGAGAGCTCAGGCTGGCCATTATTTGTGGCTGCCATTTCCATTTCCAAAAAAGTATGATTATTTCAGTTAACGGAGAAAAAGCACTGACAAAATTCAACACCCTTTCATGATTAAAAACACTCAACAAAGAATAGAGAAAACTACCTCAACATAATAAAAGTATATATGAAAAACCCACATCACACTCAATGGTGAAAAACTGAAAGCTTTTCCTCTAAAATCAGGAACAAGACAAGGATGCCTGCACTCATTACTTCTATTCAACACAATGCTGGAAGTTCTAGTCGGCACACTTAGTCAAGAAAAAGAAATAAAAGGCATCAAAATTGAAAAGAAAGAAGTAAAATTATCTCTATTTGCAGATAGGATTTTATAAGTAGAAATGCCTGAAGAGTGCGTGCACGCACACACACACACTGACACTCACACTCAGGAACTAATAAACGAGGCCAGGCACTGTGGCTCATGCCTATAATCCTAGCACTTTGGGAGGCAGAGGTGGGCGGATCACTTGAGGTCAGGAGTTTGAGACCAGCCTGGTCAACATGGCAAAACCCCATCTCTATAAAAAATACAAAAATTAGCCAGGCATGGTGGTGGGAGCCTGTGGTCCCAGCTACTTGGGAGGCTGAGGCACAAGAATCACTTGAACCCTGGAGGCAGAGGTTGCAGTGAGCCAAGATTGTGCCACTGCCCTCCAGCCTGGGTGACACAGCAAGAGAGTGAGACTCTGTCTCTTTTAAAAAAGAAAAAATAATAATAATTTTTTAAAAAAACTAATAAATGAAATCAGCAATGTAGTAGCATACAAAGTAAATACACAGGTCAGGTGTGGTGGCTCACACCTGTAATCCCAGTACTTTGGGAGGCCGAGGTGAACGGATCACTTGAGGTCAGGAGTTCAAGACCAGCCTGGCCAACATGGTGAAATTCTGTTTCTACTAAAAATATAAAAAGTTACTGATGGTGTGTGACTGTAGTCCTAGCTACTCAGGAGGCTGAGGCAGGAGAATCACTTGAACCTGGGAGGCGGAGGTTGCAGTGAACTCAGACTGTGCCACTATACTCCAGCCTGGGCGACAGAGTGAGACTGGGAAAAAAAAAAAAAAATCAATACACAAAAATCAGCTGCATCTCTAAATACTAACAATGAATAGTCTGAAAAGGAACTAAAGAAAATGAAAATTCCACTTAAAATCTAGCAATTCCACTTCTGGATATATACTCCCAAAAACTGAAAGGAGGGTTTCAGGGAGGTAGTTGAACACCCGTGTTCATAGCAGCATTATTCCGAATAGCCAAAAGGTGGAAGAACCTAAGTGTCCATTGATAGGTGAATGAATACGCAAAATGTGGTATGTGCACAACAGCGAGATTTTACTCAGCCTTGCAGAGGAAGGACATGCAGACACTTCCTGCAACATGAACCTTGAGGATATTGTGCTAAGTGAAATAAGCCAGTCACAGAAAGACAAATATTCTGTGATTCCACTTCTGTGAGGAAAGTAGCATAGTGAAAATCACAGAGACAGAAAGTAGAATAGTGGCTGCCGGGGTTGCGGAAAAAGGGAATGGAGAGTTGGTGTTTATGGGGACAGTTTTAGTTTTCTTTTGTTTGTTTTTTCCCCGCTTACCCCAACTTGAAGCTCAGAGTTTTAGCTGTAGATGAAAAGAGTTCTGGAAATGTGTGGGGGTGATGGCTGTACAACATTGTGAATGTATTTAATACCCCTGAACCACACACTTCAATATGGCTAAGATGGTAAATGTTATGTGTATTTTATTACAATATTTTGGAAAAAAAATTTTGATGTGATAATGCAAACTTACAGCGACTCATACCTGCTTTATTGGGAGTTTCAGAAGGGGCAGGAGGGAGAGGACACGCTAAGCAGCCAGGGGCTACTGACACTCCAGAAGCACCCCCAGGGACTGCCTTTCTCAACATCACCCTCTGGAATGGCAGCGCCAGCCAAGAGCGCACTGCCATTGGTTTTCCTGACCAAACCTCAAGAAACAGCTGCGTTCCCATCAGATGTGCTCACTAAATCATGCCGACACACAGACACGCAGCTTCCAGCCTGTTCGGCAGCAGTGCAAACATGGGGGTCTCAGATCCTCCACTAGAATGATTCTGGTCCTGCTTGAGCCTTCGCCTGAGTCCCCATCACACATTGTAAAGGTCAACTTAAGGATGATGGGCAGGCAGAGGCAGGAATAAGGACTGATACGGTTTGAATCCATCCCCACCCAATCTCACATTGGTTTAGCACCATCCCCTTGGTGCTGTTCTCATGAGAGCTGGTGGTTTAAAAGTGTGTGGTACCTACCCCAACCCCTTGTCCCTGCTGTGGCCATGTGATGTGCCTGCTCCCACTCTGCCTTCACCGTGACTGTTTGTGAAGCATCCCCAGAAGCTGAGCAGATGCCAGCACCATGCTTCCTGTACAGCCTGTGCAACTGTAAGCCAACTAAACCTCTTTTCTTTATAAAATACCCGGTCTCAGGTATTTCTTTATAACAGTGTGAGAATGGCCGGAAACACCACTCAGACGCAAACATTACCTGCAGGCCACCGCATGCTGACTGTCACCAAGCAGGAGCCGGCCGGCCCCTCCCTCATGCGGAGCCACTGGCATGGACAGCCCCGGGGAGCTCAGGCCGAGCGTCCTTTCCGCCGTGCACCCCCGGACGGTGCTCTCATTGGCTTTCTCAGACAGCACCATCTCAGCGTCCAGCTGGCCACGGCCTGGATTAAGTTTAAAATGCTGCACCAGTCCCCACCTCCCTACGTATGACTTTTTACAAGTCTGACACTTAAAGCTTTGGGACCTCAGGGAGCAGCTTGATAAGTCAAAGAGCGCCTGCCTCTCCCTCTGATCTTCTTCCACGCTGAGTTCTGAATCATCATCAGAATCTGACAGATGACCGTCCGCCAAATCATCCCTTTTTATGAACTTATCTTTAGCTTTATACTTGGTAGGTCGAGATACCCGTCTCAATGTGTCTTCACTTTTAACGATGGTTTTAGTTTCTCAGTATGTTTTATATGCAAGTTGGAAATAAATAAATGTGCTGAACTGGATTAAACATGTTACAGCCGGCCGATTGGAGGCCGACAAAGGGGTCAACATGGAGCCCTGTCCATTTGGAGCCTTGAGGGCTGGGACTCTCTTTGCAGGGACCACCTGGAGGGCTGGCAGTGGTCTCTATACAAGCCCCTGAGCAGGAGGCTGATGTAGGTCACTTAGGAAACATGACTGTAGCTCGGTTCTCACGAGGGGCTGTACCCTGAGCAGCTGAAGGCTGGTGATGTGGAGCCCCACCAGGTGGGAATTCCCCCAGGGCGGCTGGCTGTCTTGCAGATGGGGCTGGATTGTGGCCAGTAGGGACGTTGGCCGTTCCTGACCTTTTGTTTCTCCAGACGTTACCTTGACACAAATGGCGTCTAGTTGCTTTCCTACAGAAAGACAAGTAAGGGAAAAGAAGCATTGTGCTTATCAACATGTCTGCAATTTTGCTCTTATAGTAAATCCATTATTGACATTTTTTTCTAAATTACATCTTAACATATACAATTTATGTAACGTGTTTGTATTAAGTGTTTTTCAGACCTTTCTGACTAGAAACCACAGTGATACAGGCTGGGTGCAGTGGCTCATGCCTGTAATCCCAGCACTTCGGGAGGCCAAGGTGGGCAGATCACTTGAGGTCAGGAGTTTGAGGCCAACGTGGTGAAACCCTTTCTCTATTAAGGATACAAAAATTAGCCAAGTGTGGTGGTGCACGCCTGTAATCCCAGCTACTTTGGAGGCTGAGGCATGAGAATCGCTTGAACCTCGAGGCGGAGGTTGCAGTGAGCCGAGATCGCGCCATTGCTCTCCAGCCTGGATGACAGAGCAAGACTCCATCTCAGAAAACAAATAGAAAGTCCAGGCACGGTGGCTCACGCCCGTTATCCCAACACTTTGGGAGGCCGAGGTGGGTGGATCACTTGAGGCCAGGAGTTCGAGACCAGCCTGGCCAACATGGTGAAACCCCATCTCTACTAAAAACACAAAAGTTAGCCAGGTGTGGTGGCATATTCCTGTACTCCCAGCTACTTGGGAGGCTGAGGCAGGATAATTGCTTGAGCCTGGGAGGCGGAGAGGCTGCAGTGAGCTGAGATCGTGCCACTGCACTCCAGCCTGGGCGACAGAGCTAAGCTCAGTCTCAAAAACAAAAAACCAAAAACAGACCACAGTGACACATTTTACATTACGACCTAGTACACATGAATATAAATATTTGCATACATAAACGAAGTGAGAAGTTGATGGAACTACTTAGCATTCCTATGTAAATGCCTGCTGATTGTATCTATTCTACATCACTTTTTTCTTTTTTTTTTTTTTTGGAGATAGGGTCTCATACTCTGTTGCCCAGACTGGAGTGCAGTGGCGTGATCTCAGCTCATGGCAACCTCCGCCTCCCAGGTTCAAGTGATTCTCCTGCCTCCGCCTCCTGAGTAGCTGGGATTACAGGTACACGCCACTGTGCCTGGCTAATTTTTATATTCTTAGTAGAGATAGGGGTTTCATCATGTTGGACGGGCTGGTGTCAAACTTCTGACCTCAAGTGATCCACCCGCCTCGGCCTCCCAAAGTGCTGGGATTACAGGTGTGAGCCACTGCACTTGGCCCTAATCTACATCACTTTTAAAAAAATGTTAGTCATAATCCACTAAGTTGGTTTCATGATGAATTAAGAGATAATAAAAGCCTTCTTAACAGTTTTACCCATGTGTTTTTGCTTGGAGTTTTCAGTACTCTAAAATCAGATGTAATTCATAATGTGGGCCCATGTTTTTAAAAAAGTTTCTAATGAAATTCTAGAAGCCACAAAAAAGCCATAAAGAACAATGTTACCCAGGATCCTCCTGCCCAACGTGCATGCCCGATTCTTCACCCTGTCCTGAACGTGCTGTTCAGCATTCTTACGCTTTTTAAATATTTACATGGCATATGCAGATATTTCTAAAAATATATAGTTCAGTTCTGAAATGCTTTAAAACTTTATAGAAATGATATCATCTCCTGCAACTTGATAGGGTTTTTTCAGGTTTCTTTACTCCATTTTGTTTTGTGAATTTTATCCTCATTGACATGTGTAGCTCTTGGGTTGATTTTCTCTGCAGTATGAGTACACCAATCTCCTATTGATGGACAGGTACTTTCCAACATTCTGCTCTGAAGTCTGCTCTGAATCTCCATGGATGTATGTGTGGACATGTGTCAGTTTCTCCAGGGGCACGTATCTAGGAGTAGGGCTGAATATCTTTTCTTTTTTTGAGAGAGGGTCTTCCTCTGTTGTCCAGGCTGGAGTGCAATGGCATGATCTCAGCTCACTGCAACCTCCGCCTCCCAGGTACAAGTGATTCTCCTTCCGCAGCCTCCTGGGTAGCTGGGATTACAGACACATGCTACTACGCCTGGCTAATTTTTGTATTTTTAGTAGAGATGGGGTTTCACTATGTTGTCCAGGCTGGTCTCAAACTCCTGACCTCAACTGATTTGCCCCACTCAGCCTCCCGAAGTGTTGGAATTACAGGCATGAGCCACCGTGCCTGGCCGGGCTGAATATCTTCAACAACTTTTTACAAATATATCTAACAAAATTTCAAATACATGTGCTTTTTGACCCAGTAATTCCACTTCCTGGATTCCAAAATTTAAAAAAACTCAGCCATAAAGATGTTATGTTGTACGAGGATCAAGGCAGCACTGTCTGTAATAGCAAAACATCTACCAAAGGGGAGAGCTACCTTCAACAACATCCCACAAATATTTATTGAGTACTGACCATGTGCATGAGACACTGCTACAGGTGTCAGGGAAACAGCTCTCATACAGCTCAGGGGAGAAGGTCGGGAAGCAAAAGAAACAAGGCTTCTGCCCTCACAGAGCAGAAATAATGAGCATTTTCCTCCACAGAGAAAAAGAGGCAAACCTCATCATCCAGAGCACGATTTCCCAACCAACATTTCAGAACAAAATCCTTTGACATGAGTGGCTGGAGGATGCCCAGCAGCATCTCTGCCTCTACCCACTAGATGCCAGCAGTGATCCCAAGTCCTGACAAGATATTGTCAAGTGTCCTTTGTGGGGCAAAACTGCCCTCGGTTGAGAACCACTTATTTGGGACCACCAACTGGCCCTCTTTGGACTCAGCCTTCTGGTGTGACCCTAACACAGTAGAAAGTCAATAAAAATGTCAAACAGGACAGAATAAAGACCCTCGCTGAGATCAGGCTGGCGTGTGTCTCTCGTCTGTCTCTTCTTATACACTAGTACAAATAACAGAGGTCAAGTGTACCGAGCTGGCACCACAGCCCTGGGAGTCCCCATTTCTGGGCTACTTGTGAATCAAATGACAACTAGATTGTACATAATGTCTGTTTGATTTTACTAAGTCACATAGAATCTCTCTCTCTGGGCCAAACACATCACACACAGCTGTAATAGCAGTGCTTTGGGATGCTGAGGCGGGAGGATTGCTTGAGGCCAGGAGTTCAGGGCCAGCCTGGGCAACAGAGCAAGACCCTGTCCCTACAAAACATTAAAAACCAAAACCCCCCCAAAAAAAAAAAAACCCCCGCAAAAAACAAACTCTCACTCTGTTGCCTCGGCTGGACTGCAGTGGCACGAAATTCTTGGCTCACTGAAACCTCCACCTCCCGAGTTCCAGTGATTTTCCTGACTTGGCCTTGCTGGTAGCTAGGCTTGCAGACATGCGCCACCACGACTGGCTAATTTTTGTATTTTTAAGTAGAGACAGGGTTTCACCATGTTGGCCAGACTGGCCTCAAATTCCTGATCTCAGGTGATGCACGCGCCTCAGCCTCCCAAAGTGCTGGGATTACAGCTGGGATTACAGGCGTCAGCCACCGTGCCCCACCTACAAAACATTTTAAAATTAGTCTTCATGGTACATGCCTGTAGCCCCAGCTGCTCCGGAGGCTGAGGGGGAAGGATCGTTTCAGTCTGGGAGTTTGAGGCTGTGCCGTAGTGAGGTATGATCAGTCCAGCCTGGGTGAGAAGGCAAGACTTTGTCTCAACAAAACTACAAAACAACAAAATACATATACACACAGACAACCTAAACCCTATTGTTTTAGGATAACCACAGCAGCAAAGCTGGCCTAATATTCATCCTCTATCCTGACTGGCTTACCCTGTGGGTATTATTATGCTTTCGTGCTTGCGTTGGTGTTTATTTCATTCAGCGACGTTACAAATATTTCTGATAAATAACATAACACCAGCCAAGACCTACCTCACCCTTGAATGTGGGGAATTGCCCTGCCATGCTTGCCCGCAGACCTGCGAATCAGATCTCCCGGGGTGG